TCCTCAGGAAAAGGGTCATGCCGTCGAGAAATGCCTACAGGGACAAGAATCGCGGTGCAGGACCTGAAGTTCGTGCCAAGTGTCGGACTGTGATACAAGGGTGTCACGACCCTGACTTAGGTCTTTTGGACAGATCAAGTCCTACGCCGACACGCATAGCAGAGCTCTTGATTTACGAGATCGCCTGTTCCGGCTACAACCGACGCTTTCTCAAGAACAAGAAGGCCTGGAAGCTCTGGTCTGGCGACGTCGCTACAGCCTTTCTACAAGGCGTTCCTGAAGAAAGGGATCTTCCGATCTTCATGCGACCACCTCGTGACGGGATACAAGGTTTGGCAAACACGTTTCCATGCGACCTGTACCAGATCATCGGCAATCTTTATGGCCTTTGCAATGCTCCGAGGACCTGGATAAACCACATTGTCCGGAAGCTCCGAGCAGCCAAGTTCTTGAGGCACCGCCTGGACCACACCGTCTACTACAAGCTCGACCAGGCCGGCGAGTTGTTGATCGTCCTCCTGTTCCACGTCGACGACTTTCTTGCAGCGTTTCGCGAGGACTACCAGTTCAGCGAGCTGCAGGACATGTTTACTTGGGGGCAAACAAACCTTTTGGACGACGGCGACTTCGTCTTCAAAGGCAAGGAGGTCAGCCTTAAACAGGTGAACGGTGAGTACGTGATCCACGTCACCCAGAAATCCTTCATCAACGAGCTCGTGACAGGCAAGCTCAAGCGCGGCAGGTCTACAGAGACGGATCCCTTGACCGTCGAGGAAATGAAAGAATACCGCAGCTGTGCCGGAAGTCTTCAATGGCTGGCTGGAAGTACGAGACCAGACATTGCTGCCACAGTGTCTCTGAGCAACCACGGCCAAAACAGCAGCCCCGGCCAGCTCAAGGTCCTCTACGAGTGCATCGACTACGTCAAGAACAGCCCGGACCATGGACTGGTCTTTCAGGGACTGGTCTTTCAGGGAGTGGCAATTAACTATGCCACCACCGTGATCGGCTACGCGGACTCTTCGTGGGCGAACGCTCCTGGAGGCAAAAGCCAAATGGGCGTGATCGTAATGATCACCGGACCTGAGTGTCAGGACCAAGTTTCGAAAGCTACAGTCCTCGACTGGCGAAGTTGTCGGAGTCCCAGAGTTACAAGGTCAACTCTGGCTAGCGAGGCCAACGCCATGGACGATGGCGTGGACAGGTCCACCTTCCTCAACGTCTTCCTCTCCGAGTTCCTCCAGAAGCCTGACAACAGCGCGCCGCTTGACAAAGGACTACTGAAACAGCTCCAGGTGACTGACTGTAAATCCCTGTTCGACGCTGTTATCAGCGAGAACCCTTCTCTAGAAGAAAAGAGAACTCTGATCTCGATCAGATCGATACAGGACTACATCAGTCCAAGCCAGGTCCACTGGGTGCCAAGCGGGCTCATGTTTGCAGATGTGCTCACGAAGCACTCAACACAGTTGCGGGATGAGTTCCTGTTCTGGATGCCCATACGTACAGCTGAGGGAGGAAGATGAACACCAAAAGAAAGTTTTTACCAGTGTGAATTTCAGTCTTGTTGTGCCTCTGCTCTCTGTGTGCGCTGCCATCAGCGGATCCCTTGAGTCTTAGTACCTTTTAGCTGTGAGTGCCGTCCAGCAAAACATGTGCGTTTGAGCGTCTGCAGAGTGAAGCCGCTTTCTGCATCGAAGCACTGTTGCCACTAGAGGAAGTAGAAATGCCGTAGAAATAGAAAGTCGGAAGATCAAGAAGTAGAAGGTAGCAGTCGTCGTCGTAGCAGCAGTAACAGCAGTAGCAGCAGCAGCAAGGAGGTCCCGGCTACTCCGGCAAGTGCAATACTGGTAGTAGTAGGCTTCAGAGGTTTCAGGCTCCAGAGATCTTCCCTTCGCTGGAGGCATGCGGGCCAGTTTCGATTGGGGTGCAAGTTTAGCCGTGATGAACATCTGTTTATTAGTTATTATTGTTTGATGTGGTCAGAAAAGCCAATGCACGCGACAGGAACGCCGCTCAGTTCCAACCCACGGGCATTTTCTATGGTCATGTAGGGCTCATTGAGATAGTCTTGTCTCTCAAGTGTGCCTCCCGTGCTCTCTCTCTCGCTCGCCTGCGGGTGCAGAAGCGAAAGGCAGAACCATGTGCAATCACACATGCTGGTCTCAGAGCTCTTGCGCCCAGGTCATGTTTTCAAGTCAAAGCACGCGTTGGCATCATCTAGCACATTTCGTGCATGTTTCGCAATACTGGCCGCAGAAATCGTCTGAAGAGATGCGGCTGCTCACCAAGGCAGGTTGGTTTTGCAATTGGCTGTGCAGCAACGATCGTTGTTCCGCAGCAATTATTTATGCATGCATGTTTCAGCCACAGGTCGTGGAACAGGCCCGAGACGTCCCAAGCACATCTTTCTCGATTGATCACCTGTCCAGAGCATGATGCCGGTGAGAAGTCTGAAGAAGAGATGGCACAAGGCCGACTCCAACACAGCCTTAAAGCAGCGGCTGGAGGTGCGCAGCGACTTCCGGTTGAGGGTACGATGTGTGAATTTGAAGCCGTCGGAAACTGAATGAGTGGCTGAGGCGCTGGAGGTCAGACTTGACAGGATGGGCCTCGACATGCCCGTCATGACCATAAGGCGGACACGTCAAAGCCGGAAAGTTCCATGACAATTCCTGGGTGCTTGTCAGGCCTCCTCCAGAGCGCACATCATACTTCCAAGCGTTGCAAGTCATCCTGGCGCTTATTGTCTCGAGGGCAGGGAGAGCTCAGCAAGGTTTCTGTAAAGCTCGGTCGAAGGTGCAACAAAGTGGACGGCGCTTGGCAAACGGATGTGAGGAGCTGCTTTCGCAACAAGTCTCTGAGATGTCAGCATTCACAGAATTCGAGTTATCTCGACGTCGCCGTTTGTGGCGTAGCACAGAAACGTCTTTGTTATGGTCAGCAGGTAGGACATGTCCAAGGCAAACAGGGGGTTTCAGTTCCAATGACAAGCATGTGAATGTATTACGTGCGGTTGATGCTAAGTTGATCTTCGAGAGCACAAGCACGTAAGGTTGAGCCCACTCAGCCATGACGGACGGGTCAGCCATGGCGACTGCAATCCAGCTGGATGGAACATCCATGACAAAAATGAAGCCAGCCGCGGAGGTGCGACAAGCTTCCTGCATGTTCTTGCCTTTTGCGCCTGGTAGCTTGTTGTGCTAGCATGGCTTGTTTTCAGAAGCATGGAGCCTTCCTACAGCATGCTAGGTGCTGGTCGATGGTTGCACCAGCCACGAGCAGGCATTTTCCATGCAGGAAATGTTCGTTGACTGGTGACTCTGCAGAAACTCGACGTGTCTGTCCAGTGCGTGCAGCAAAAAGATCTAGCGCTTGTCTCACTGTCTCACCGTGATCTTAGGCTTGTCTAGCATGCATGTCGCGGAGGGCAATGCAGCATACCTTGTGCGAACGCAAAATCTAAGGTTCCCCAATGGTCTAAAGTTGATGTTCAAGATCAGGCCTCGAGCTCAGAAGCTTGAGGTCTCTGTGAATGAAAAAACTTTGGTGTCAAAGAACATCTCCAAGCTCTTGGAGGAGGATGTCACAGGACTTTGGCCAACAGACAAGGCGAAGATCAAGGCTGAGATTCGCGGCTGGCTTGAGGACTCGCCCAAAGAGCTTCTTCAAAAAGCCACGTTGCGTGACCCTTCTGTGAGAGAAAAGACGGGGAGCAGCTGGTTTGAGATCATCGGCTCCATCACGGTCATTTTGTCGATCGGTGTTGGCATATACACGCTGACATACCTTATGGCACTAGGTCTGAAGTCAGGACCCAGGGAAGAGACTGAGCTTTTGGACAACTACGAGCTCTGAGAGGTGCACAGACGCACTGTACAAAGAATAAACTGAATTCGTACTGAGTGCTGTTTGAGCAGCCGCGCTTGTCGGAAATGCTTTTGCAATGCAGCTTCGGCCGACTGACAGCTCCTGACTCATTCGCTGCTGTTGTCATCTTTTCGCTTCAGGACGAACCTCGTCAGGGTACTGTGCACCTCGTGGATCCCAAGCTAGTGGCTCAGTTTTTAAGGCCTAAGACGAGATGCCTTGATGACTCCTGTGTCAAGGCCGCTGCTGCGTCGCATACCCTGAGCGGGAAAGCCAGTACTCACCTGCTTCACAGATGTTCAGAAAGATGTTTGTAAGATGACTGCATGCTCTCACTTGACGATGCATCGGGTATCCAGTATTTTCGCGGTTGCACTAGCGATGGGAGTTGCTCCGGTTGTCGGATGTGGTGGTTGTGGTGCTGGTGTGGTGGGCGGTGCTTATAGTTTCAATGCTGCTTGTGCCTGTGCTGGTGCCTTGCCGGTGCAGTCCCGCCATGCCGCCGCTGCTGTTGCTGCTGCTGCTGCTGCTGCTGCTGCTGCTGCTGCTGCTGCTGCTGCTGCTGCTTGTGCTCTTGCTCGTGCAGCTGCTTTTGCTGCTGCCGCTGCTGTCGCTCGTGCTTCTGCTACTGTGCTTGCTGCCGCTAGCCTGTCGGAGTGCTGGCGCTGGTGGTGGTGGTGGTGGTCGTGGTGGTGGTGGTGCTGCTGGTGGTGGTGGTGGTGCTGCTGCTGCTGGTGGTGCTGGTGCTGCTGCTGGTGCTGGTGCTGCTGGTGCTGTGGTGCTGGTGCTGCTGCTGGTGCTGGTGCTGCCGGTGCTGCTGCTGCTGTTGATGGCGGTGGTGGTGGTGGTGCTGCTGCTGCGGGTGATGCTGGCGCTCGTGCTGGTGCTGTGCTACCGGTGCTCTTGCTGCTGCTCTTGCTGGTTCTTGCTCTTGCTCCTGCTCCTGCTCCTGCTCTTTCTCTCGTTGTTAGAGTTGTGGCGGCGGTGCTGGTGGTGGTTGTGGTGGTGGTGGTTACCGCTTTTCGGTCTGACTAGATGATTCAGCCCTGCAGGCGTTCGTAGTTGCACTTTCCAAGAACATCTGGTTGCGATTTCACTGGCTTGTCCGTGCACCATCACCCATCCAGCGAAACTTGGCCTTTTCAGTCGCATAAGCGCTATGCTACAAGCCGCTTATATGCGTATCGACTGTCCGCCCAAAATGGCGTGAGCTGCACTTTGCAATTCACACAGAGGTGTCTCTGACTGATTTCCCATGCGTGCAACTGACGGTTTCACGTCCACTTGTCAGAAAGCCGCTTTCAGAGGATCGGTTACGTTCAATCTAGGCACACGAGCTGCCCGGCCAGACACGGCATTTTAGGTTTACCCACCCGGTGCTCGCTGGCAGCCCCTGAGCGTTTTTTGTGTCTTGGTAGCTGGGTGCTCTTTCTTCGAATGGGACAAGACGTGGCAGTCTGGCCCAGCTGCAGACAGCCACATGGAGGACAGCAGGGAAGATGGCAAAATAAGCTTGCGGTTCGTCACAACCAATCGTGGCAAAGTGGACTTCTTGCGGGTCGTCCTGGAAAGTGCAGCGGCGGATAGCATCCTGCAGTCGGTCGTTCCTCGAAGCGCTTCGCCTTCCGCACCTTTTTCCTTGAACCATTGACTAATACAAGTAAGGAGCAGCTACCCTCCGTGCTTCCCTCCTGTGAGACTCTGTTGCTTAGGAGATGTGCGACGTGGAGTTGCCAGAGCTCCAAGCAGACTCCGTGGCCAAGATATGTGCAGCAAAAACTGAGGCAGCTTTCCGTCTGCTCGGTGGGAATGTGGTGGTGCAGGACTCGTCCCGTGTGAAAGCCCAAGACGCCTCATCAATATGGTTGTTGTCTGCAAATGCAGGACAGTGGCTTCGTGATCGAAGCTTTGAATGGCTTCCCAGGGCCGTACACAAAGTATGTTCTCTCAACTATTGGCGTGGACGGGCTTCTGAAACTTATGGATGGGCAGCTGAACCGCCGATGTGGCTTTGCCGCTTGCGTTGGCTTCGCAGATGCTCGAGGCAGCTCTTGTGGACACCAAGCTTCCAAGCGCTATCTCATCTTTGGTATTGGTAGCGGCTGCGTGTCATTGGCAGCCTTAATTGATTGGCAAGGCAGACCAGGTATGGTCACCTCACTGCCTTGCAAATTGTGTCGTCACCTCCGTGCACAGGCAAAGTTCACATTTTCGAAGAGCCGACGCAGTACTTCGGCAATTTGCGGGCGTCCAGAGCTTCCACTGATAAGTCTGAGGGGAATGTCGTCGGTAGAGCCTGGGGTCATGCCGCTCAGTGGCCATTGGAGGTTATTGAGGCTTACTAAGCTCACTCGGGTCTTGCTTGCGTCGTGCGTTTGTGCTCCTGTCACAAGTGTTTCTCCCAAGTCAGGAATCTGGCCAGCTCTTCGAAGTTTTCATACCAGACGATGCAGTGGACGGTACTGACGGTCTGACTTTGGCAGAGATGTCCGAGAAGCAGCTGACCATGTATCGGCAACATCGTCACTCTGCCTTCCAGGCGCGGGCATCTGCTGCGGCCCTGTGCTCCAAGGCTCTCATGTTTGGTTCCGATGCATGCCGAAGGTCTTCGCAAACTGGCTGCTGAAGGAGTATGGGCAGAAATCGACGTCTGTCGTGACACACGGCTAACATCACGGCACAACCCAGTCGTGCTTTGGCTTGATTGGAACTCATTGAGAACTCTTTCAAACTTTTCTTCGAGCGTCCATTGGGTCCGAGGCGCACTTCGAACTATGAGAGTCTGATGTTCTGAGCTGCGAACGGCGCAGGCGGTGTGTAGCCATGTGTCGCCCAGTGCGACATGCGACTAGTCTGTAAAGTCTCTGGACATGACAGACGAAAGATTTTGAGCCTGTGGTCTGCTTCGGACATCGGCTGCATGATCATAGTCCTGACAGGGCTGGAGCGAAGCTGTTCTTGAAGACTTCTGGTGATTCAGAGTTCAAGTTCAGTTGTTCTGGTTACCTTGTTCTATCGAGTCCAATGTAACATGTCGAGAGCGACTCTTAAAGCCAGCTTCGTTACAGTTGCTGGCTCCAAAAAATCTGCACAGACTTAGATGGTCTATGCCTGAGTGGACTGTTAGGCGATCGATCCAGAGAGCCACACTTGCATCACTTTATTTGGTCTCGAGAGAGGCGATGGCTGGACGTACGCTGATCCACTCCCAGCCGCAATGGCTTTGCTGCCATCCGGCGGCCCGTCAGAACAGTGCTTTCGCCTCCGCATGCAGCTTGACTGCACTGCCCACTTCCTTCCGGCCATGCAAAACCGGCACACGAAAGGTTCCAATGCGTGGGCTTCTATGCCGCTGTTTCGTCATATCCGTCTGCCTCTGCAAGAAGCACTCTCTGGATTAGCAACTCCTTTAGCAGCACGGAGCAGTTGCATCGTCCTTCTGCTCGCCTGTCCAAGACTCCAAGACCATTTGTTCTGTGCGGATCTGTGCTGTCACAACCAGCACCTCGTAGTTGTGAAAATGCGACGTTCCTCACATCTAAACTGATGTATAGTCTGACTGTGTAGAGAGCATATGAAGAAGCCACACATGTTTTTATGCCCATTTCGGCTCAAGAAGACTAATACGACACAAGCCCAACCCTTTCATCAGACCACACGTGCATCGTTCAAGAGATTACACCCTTCACATCCAATCGTCATGCGGGGCATTCCGAAGAGATGCAGAAAACTTCTGCCGCAGATGGTGCTTCGCCAACGCAGATTCAGTCCCGCTTGTTGAAAGGTCCATCCTTTGCAGATGTGGTGATCCAGGACCCAGCCTGCATGCCTTGATCCAACTTTAGGCTTGAACCAAGCAAATCGACCAAGTCAGGAAGTGGCTCGGCTGGCCCGAGAAGTGCAAGCTATTCAACGCGATCGGGATGCAGCTTGTCTCGGCACTATGGGAACTTCAGGTTGTTCGTAGTCTAGTCTGAGATATCAAGTAGGTTGAAGTGTCAAACTGCCTTGCGAAAGTTGGCCTCATCAACATTCTTATCCTTGGTGTAACAAGATGCGGCGGTCACCTTAGTGCAGGCACTCCTGCAGCAGATGGAGGCGCGGCTGCATTCTGTTCCGAGTGGTTTGCATGTGAAGGGCTCTGTGTCACTATACAAGCTTGGTGTCGGTCAGTGCAGGCGTTGCGTGCCGAAGTTCGGGAGATGAAACTGGCACGAAGTGGTCCACCCATCCGAGCCCCTCGGAGACTCGTAGACAGTCGTAAAGCAGACTTAAAAAGAGTTGTCTGAGTTCTCCCTGCAGCCGATTCAGATGCGCATTTGCAAGACAAGAGTGGCGCAAGCTGTGTGGGGGGCAAGGTTGTTGGCCGCGACGGTGTTTCCTTGGAGCGCATCCTGGAGCAGGCAGTTCCATACACCATAGTTGAGACGCGAGGCTCAAATCGGAATGAAGTAGCCTGCTCCGTTTAATGCTTAGACATGAGGGCACCATTTTTGTCCGAAGGAGGCCACGCTTGTCCTAGCCTAGCTCAGGATCCCGGAGGGCATTCACAGCTTTGAGCTTCTGGAGTGGCTTGGCATTCAGGTCAGCATCAGGAGTTGTGGCAGCACATTGCTTGACAGCCTGACAACAGCTCTTGCAGGTTAAAGAAGCCAGTGTTGATTCGGCGCAGCATGGCATCGCGCAAGTCCGACACGGTGCTTATGGGATGCCTGTCAGAGTCTGGTTTGTTTGGCTTGGACCTGCATCCCGCAAGTTGCAGGGGAAAAAAGACAGCCGAGGAAGCATCGTAATAGCATCTCGTGGCGTGAAGATCGAGTCCGTTTGCTTCCGTTGTGATCCGGAGTCCCAGTACACACAGATGATTACAGTGGGCACTTCTGAGTGTGTCCTGGGCATTGCTGGACTAATTCTGACTTGCGCAGACCGGTCTTCTCAGAAAATGAATCCCGTTTACACCGACAGCTTCTACCAAGGCTTCATTGATGCCACAGAGGCCGAGCTGGTTGACTGCGACAGTAACATGAGCCTGGTGATCAAGAGCGGGGCGCCAATAATTCGGCATTGCAGCTTCTCAGCTCAGGGCAACTGGACCGCAGCACAGCTACGCTAGCAACTCCAGCGGTTTAAGAACACGACACCCAAGACTTGCTGGCTGGACGTTTCCTTTGCTGCCGCCCTTTGTTGAGGCGAGTTGAATGATCAGGGCTTGCGCGCGAGTTTGAATAGCTGTATCTGGCTGGGCAGAGACACTGCTGCGACTATAGAGACCCTTGGCTGTTTCGAGAACTGTAGCCGCAGCGCGACAGAGACTTCAGGACAGTTTAGACAGTTGCAGACACAATCTACAGACCGAAGAGCTAAGTTCCTGTTTCATCGATGGAAGATCCAGCCGCGTGCATGCCTTCTCGATCGATGACAATGCATGGGGGAGGTTGCGACGGAATGTGGTCTGTGGCACGAGCGAATACCCTGCATTCCACAGAGGGTCCTTTGGCAACTGCGATCTGGACCAAAGCAATGTCTCTCGGACCCTATAAAGAGGCAGAATCGAGCGACCAAGCAATACCAAGTGCAGTTGGCAAGCGGTTGGTGTGTTGCCTTGTTGGGGTATATGTTGACGTCAACACAATTGGGGCAAGGTCAACATATCGTAACATGTTGAATAGTGTGACAGGACCATGACCCTGCTATGTTGAATGTAAAGAGTGTGGCTCTGGCAAGCCCGCTCATGTTGACATGCCAACAGTTAACATATTCCTTTGTGTCAAAAGCGGTTTCTTAGGAAGGTACCAAGCAAAACACTAAGTCGGTGACTTTGTCTTGACACGTTGAAGGTTTAACAAGGTTGAAATGCGTGGCAGGGCTTTGTACTGATGTTGAGAAAACTGTCGGACGTTCACACATTTTGACCACAAGTTCTAGCATGTCGAACACGTGTCAGCTTCGCTTTATTTATGTTGTGACAAACAAAGCGGTAGCAGGCCCAGTTATGTTGAAAACCAACATATGAAAACAAAGGCTTGTCATGCAATTGACGCCACAGCCAGGCAATGACCGTGCATAGCATGCTAAGCATGCCTTGTCTAGTGGCAGCAAGGAGATTTGCATAAAACCTGCTCGCCCAGTGTTTCACAGTGCTATTCTCGCTTCAACATGCGAGCGGGTGCTAACCTCAGTGCGTGTGGCCCGAAGAGAAGTCTGTAAGTGAACTGGTTGTTTGTTAATTTGTGAAGTACTTGGGCACATGTGCCTGCATGATAGACTTCGGCTGGAGCATCGCTGTGAACTCGGCAACTCTTCTCGATAGTGACTTAACCGACGAGGAGATCAACTGCCCTGTCTACCATGGCGTGCGGAAACTGCGAGCCTTGGAGCAAAGTCATCCAGCATCACCTGCAGCTCCGGGAAGGCCATGACATCTGCTTGATAAATCTTGATGATCGTGAGAAGATTTGGGTTTTATGCATTGCTCGCCGCAGCGCTGGCAGATTCTTTCATGTCCAGAGAGTCCTCCAGTATCCTGTTTCTTGATTCCGGCTGTTGTCGTGGTTGTCGTTGTCTGCTGCTGTTGTTGCACACTGACAGCTAAACCATGTCAGTTTTGATATGCAGGTGTGCAGCACCTTTGGCATACTGCACGCAACGAAGCTATTGCCAAGGGTGGGAAGGGATCAAGGACGCTTGAACCTGTACCTGCAAGATCTGCCTGTGACAAGCCGTGTATGGTACCGGCTTTATGAGCCCCCCTCTGTGAACGTTTGCGGGCGATCGGTGTGCTGTGTGGGTGCAGGCGGCACACCTATGGACCTATGGCGTCTCGCGCCGCCTCGCCTCGGACGCGTCTGAGACGTGTTCGATCCGTGATGCGAGATCGGAAGCCTTGCGCCGCCTGACGATTTCAATCAGCCGAAACGATATTTCCGAGTGGTGGGGTGGATTCAAAGACAAACAGACTTCTCTCTTTTGCGTGGTGAGCAAGATGTCAAGAGCCAAGAACAACAATCTCCAGGTTGCAACCAGCCCCGCGGTGTGATTAGATCCGCGATCAAGGCGGTAAACACAAAGCGCAAGCCAACAGTCAGCCGATGAGCTGTCCTTTGCACAAAGCCAAAGATCCCACAGAAAGTTGAGATTTCATTATTTAACCAGCGCACTCAAGATGGCTCACAACGGTCAGAATGTGTGAGACAGAAGCATAACCTGCAGAAAGCGCAGTCCGCTCGCTCAGCATCCTGACGTCGTTGTTGTGGTAGTAGTTGTGTTTGTGCATCTATCTTTTGTTGTTGTTCTGGTTTTGGTCGGGTCGTTCTGAAGTCAATCTGAAGCGCGCGTCACAGCAGGCCGTTGTGGTCTTCCTCGTTGTTGTGGTTGTGCTGATTGTTGTCGTCACGGCACCATGATCATGGTCCTCGTATGTTACATGTGCGAATTATCTGTGTTTCGACTGACATTTGCCGTGTGTCGTGTTGCGCGTTTTCTTCATGCAATCACGACCCGAAGCCTTTTTCTCACAAGGTGCGATGGCCTCACACCTGCCAGGTTTGGTGCCTCACCTTCGCCCGATGGTCGAACAACTTTCCGGGATGGCGGTGACTTGACTGCACGATGTGAGTTTGTAATATCATTGGTTTGCGGTTCCAGCGTGCCCAGTGCCAAATTAAGTTTCGTAAAAGACTGATCTTAGCCATTGCCATCCAGAGCGAGGGTTCGAGCATTTGCTGTTCTTTGTGTCTTCTTGCCATTGCGTCAGCATCACTGTTCCGGTGCATGTACATTCGGTGTTTCTGAGTCCCGGTCATCCGGTGTTCGCTTTGGTGTTCCGGCACGTCGGCCGGTGTCCCGGTGATGACCATTCCGGTGCTCCATGAACAACTCGAAGGGGTCCCGCGTGTCCGGCGTTTATGTATTTTGGTGTCTCGAGCGTTCCGGTCTTCTGATTTTCCCGTGTCCGGGGCTTCATGTCTCCCCAGCATCTTGTTGTTCGTTTCTGTGTCTTGTGCTCGCGGCGTGATATATCATAACCGACATCCCCACGTCGATTCACAGTGATATTTCGGATGCGAGTGGCTGCGAACGAGTGAAGCGTTCTGCTGCTTTCTTCTCTGACATGACAGAAACACTTCCACGGCAACCAGCTTGGGTAGGGAACGTTCATTTTTATGGCGTTGTCTCACTCGACTCGTATGTATACACGATACGACTATCTATGTTCACTTGCCGGTTTTCTTAGACAACATGAAGAGACTGGGCTTCCTTGCAAACCCGGCAGGACTTAAACGTGTGTGTTTGCGTTTTCTGATCGTGGCAACGCGAGGGCCTCAAGCCGTTTTGTCGGTTTCTTGTTGTCTTTTGAGGTTTCAAGGTTGCTGGGGGTGACGATCTTTGAAAGCCATTGAACATTCGCCAACACCTGCGAGTTGCTTTGCGTGCAGCGAAGCAGAAGCGAGCAAGGCTCGACCCTGACATACCCTGACGCTACTGTGTTGACGAGGCATTCTGCAGCATGGTCTATCCCATGGTGCACACTCGGCAAGTTCGGCAGCCGACAATCACCGACCTGTCCCGTACAGCGGGCAGGGACAGGTGCCAGTCTTGCAGCCTCCATCGAGCCCAACCCCTCGACACCACGGTTCGGTTCCTTGGCAGGTCTTGTAAAAAGGCCAGCATGCTGCAGCGGTCTGTGACTGCTACTTACATGTTGCAATGACTTTGCTGCCTTGATTTCGAGATTGGTCATCGTCTTGCACGGCCAATCCCGGTTCAGATTTCAGATCAAACACACAGCGTCCGAGCAGGAGCATTATAGATCTGTAATTACTGGCACGCTACAGACTTCAAGAGGCCATTACCATCGTTCCTGTAACGTGACCATGGTTCGATCCGTCACAGCGCCGGTTCGCCACTTAGATCGTGCACACTGGGCACATGTTTCGTAGTGCATTGCCCATGTTGTCCCAGCCTTTGGGTTCATATCGGAGAGCGACATTCAGAGTTGAAATCTCTCGAGCTTCAACCTTTTTGCAGATCTTGTGTTTGTCCTCCTTGTTTCTGCATGCTTGCACCCCCGAGTGAAGAGGATGGTGCAAAAGGATGCTGGCCACATCGAGGGACTCCTTCGGGCATTGTGGTTTTTCAAAATGAAACTCTGTGTCTCGATCCTGTCGTGGTTCTCGGTCGTCATTCTGAGTTAGTGTAAGTTAGTGTTGCTACTGTTGCCCTGCCGCTCCCACGGCAAAGTCACCAAGTCACACGACCCAGTACGGATGATATGACAAGCTGGGCATGCTGAGCAATCCCAATAAACAGTGTAACAAAGCATGTGCCTTCGTCCCCGCTTGCATCCATCCGACAAGAATCAATCAATACCCTGAACTTTAAACTCACATGTAACTTGAATGTTGAAGATTCTTTTGCCCATTGATTCGTCAGAATCTGCAAACCCTGAAGTTTTGCGATCGCAGCACGAGTCCAAAAGAGATCAAAAGAAACCGAGTCGTCTTTAGAGCTGCGGTGCACGCGTACAGCTTTCGTGTAAGACGTTTCGCCCACGAAGCTTCGAACCAGGGCTGATAGGGTCAATTGGTCGAGGTCCCATTGACATCAGCCAACGACTTAACGCCTATCGAACTTCTGCTGCAATGTAGGATTCAGATGAGACCAAAGTGAAAGCCTGACCTGATCCTGACTTGACAGAAGGTCCAGGGCCTGCCCGCGGAAGTGGCCCACTCTGAAACCCCGCAGGTCAGAAGCTTGACCCGCATTGGATGCTGGTCTCGATGGACCCTGCCGTTGTTGCACAACTCTCAGCATTGCTTCGATATCTTGGCAATCATCCTCTTGTCTAAGCCTTAAGCCTTTTGCAGGCCGATCTGGTTTTTGTCTTCCACAGGCATGCAAAGCCCGGAGACAAGCAGTAACAGCCTACTGGAGTCCAAACTGTGTCGGTTTCTACACATGTGACGAATTGCCTGCGGTTCTGCAGATGGCGCTGATTTTGCCGGAGTGTCTTGGTGGCGCAGCCCACGAAAGGCAATTCTGGGGCTTTTACAGCTGTTGCAAACCCATCGCTCTTGAGTAGCTTGCTCTGCAAGTGAGACTGAGAAGCACTCTCCGGACACTTTGCCTCAAGTGACTCCAAGGATGACTCCGGCAGGCTGTCATGTCATCAATAGCGAATTCGTAGTGAAAGTGCTTGGAGAAGAGCACCAGCGGCCGCGTCAATTTGTTTCTTGCACTGCCTCGTAGCCGCGAATGCAACAAGTCAAGCTGTCTCAGCATCCGAATCTTCGCATCTCCCTATTTGTAAGTTGTCCTCATGCGCAGAGAGTCAACAACTTGTTGCTGCCATGGCTAAACTGAACCGTGAGATCACGCTTGCGGCGAACACTGGCTCGGACACGCTGCAGGAGGTCATCTCCACTCATGCGCAGAGCTTCAATGCAATCAATGTCGCAACTGCACTCCATCGACTTTCCCGCTTGCATCCTTCAGACAACGTGGCAAGAGGCCCGCTGGTGCAGAGTGCATCACTTCAAGTGTTGCTGTTGAGAACTGTGGAAGTTCTTCGGCAAACAACCACGGAATGCGATTCGAAGGCAGTTTCTACTATTGCGTATTCTTTAGCTGGGTTGGGTGTAAGAGATGCCGATGTTGCGAAAAGTGTTGTAGAAGCCTCGCTCAAAAGGCTGTCCGGTTTTGATCGTCAAGGTGTGGCAAACCTGACATGGGCTTTGTCGAAATTGCCAAAGGTGGAGAAGCGAGCAAGCCTTGCAAGAAAGCTGGCTCTTCTTGCTCGAGACCTTGTCTGGCATTTCCTGCCTCAGGAACTTTGCAACGTTCTGTGGGCGCTGTGCAAGCTCGGGGTGCGAGACAACAAGCTGATGTCTTTGGCAAGCGAAGCTGTGCGAGGCAATCTTGAACGCTTTACACCGCAAGGGCTGTCCACCCTGGCTGCCGCCTTTGCCCGTGCGGGCGTGTTTGTAGAGGCACTATTGGATGAAATTGGTGAACAGGCTCAGGCACGGGTCATGGAGTTCAATGTTCGCGATGCTGCGCAACTTGTCCAGGGCTCAGTTTTGTCTCGGACTTTTGATGGAGCACCTTTTTGCAAAATCTTGCGCACCCGTTTTAGTGAACAAATTTGGCCAGTCAGCACATTCACATGGACCTGAATGGCGCTTGAGGTCTGGAGTCATGCCAAATTCAAGCTGTGCCGCGAGCCATTATTACAGCAACTGTGCAACCGTGCTGCTTCTCTTGTCGAAGGCGAAGGCACGTGCTCTTGCGGGATCCATTCGTCTCCCAGTCTTCTTGCGGTGGGACATACTAGGTCTTAGACAACCAGCGCCTCCTTAGCAAAGCAATGGTGCCAGACGTGACTTCCCGAAAATTCGGAGGTCTGGAAAGACATCCGCAGCATCTGCGTGTGTGCCAGACTTGTTAATTAATCACGTTCAGTGGCCTCCGAAGCCTCTTTGCCTGATTGCTGGAATTGATTGGTTCCTGGACCCACGGCGTGCCACCGTTGAAATGACGTGGCACACCCCGATCAAAAGAAGAGAGTATGCGCTGCCAGGCATCGAAACCACAAGCCCCGAAGCGCTGCTAATGAGCGTGAGCACCGAAACCTTTCAGTAGCTTTGCGATGTAAAAGGCCTCGGTAGAGGTCCGCCCGTGGGTGTCCGTGCTGTCATAAACAGCTCTGGGATGTGTCTCCAGAACTGCCAGATGTGGCAGCTTGAGAAGCTGTCTAACATCGCACTGACGAGCAGGGAAATTTCCCACAAGCTTGCCCATGCATGCTCACGTGGTCCCCGAGGCTTGTGCAGCTTCGGGTCACATTCGTGACAGAGCTGGAATCATCGTCACAATCGTCAGAATCATCTCTCATACATCCTTGCAGTCTAGCTGCCTGCAACCAAGCCAGGACCGATGTAGGCTTTGCGATCGGGAAACTGCCGGTACAACCCTGCGGAAGCCGATCGAGAGCTGCATGCAGGTATCAAACAAACTCTTGTATTTGAGTTTAGATCTGTTATGACAAGCGAAATACCGAGAAGGCTTCAGATACGACGTCCTCCATGATGCCCCATGTAGGCTACATCGCAGGTGCCGAGATTGTCGTCTCCTTCCTCTGGTCCTTCGGCACGCTTCGCTGGGCATTTCGTCTAGTTTGCAGACTTTTTTGTTGAGCTTTCTGTCAACCCGCGACCGTCAGCACAGCTCCCTTCCCTGTGAGGTGCCGGACAAAAGGTTCATGAAGTCGTTGGCGTCCAGGGCAATAGCGCTGGTGCCAAAGCTTGGTGCACATCGCAGCGTGCGATTGCTGACTGCCCTTGCGAAGCTCGCTTTCCACAAAAGCAGCCAGCTGACTTGCTTGACTGAGAGTCTTCAGGAAAGCCTAGAGCTGCTTCATCCGCGAATGGGTGCTCAAGAAGTTGGAATCAGCGCCTGGGCCCTGGCAACTTTGAAGCCGCGAGGCTGGAAAAAACTCCTCGGGAAACTGGTTTCTCGAGCATCAGATGACGAAGTGCTGCCTGACTTAACTTGGTGGTCCATAGCACACTTGGAATTTGCGATCAGGGCTGCGTTGCAGAAGGCGCCCAACTGCAAGCCGCTTGCAGCTGCTCCTGAGTTATTACAACTGTTAACCCATCGGTGCGAAGAGCAAGTCGAGCAGATCCAAGAAGCAAGCCGTGTTTTTCAAGACGCCCCTCTGGTTGCTGCTGCAGCTTGCGAACCGTGGGGGAGGTTCAAGTGTGCAAGTGGAAAAACTGCCCTTGTTTTTGGCCCTGGGCGCCACGTTCGCCGCTCTCTGCAGAGAAGCGGCTTTCAAGTGACGCAGTGGTACCGCTATGCGTTGGGCATGAAAAAAGCACAAGCATGGCCTCCTTCTGGTGTCTTCGATGCCGCGGCAATGAAGTACCCCGACTCTTACGAAGCCTTCGAGTATGCCTTACACGCTGTAGCTGCATCTTTGCCTCTAGGGGCTCCAACCTGGGTCTACGGAGATGTGCAGGAAGGGGTTCTCAGCACAACCAGGGCAATCAAAGGGCTATTCAAACTGTTAGAGATACAAGAGGATGGAGATGCCAGGGTCGTGTTTTTGAAGAGAACCAATGGGCAGGCTCGTGCTTGCCTGGAGTCTTGGTTCAAAGAAGACACAGTGACCCTCGCTACAACTGCTCGCAAGTGGTGGTCAATGCCAGGGCTTTTTGCAGGTGGCTTTGTAGACGTGATGTCGAGGTTTCTGTTGGACACTATGGAGAAGGTTTGGAACACTGAGTCCTCCGAGAGGCCAGGATGGTCCAGCTCGCGGCAATGCAAAGTACTTGACTTCGCCAGTGGGACCGGGGTGCTGGCAGCAGGGCTATCATCACTGCTTCCTGGCAAGAATGAACTGTGGCTGATAGATGCTGATTCAGTAGCACTGCAGGCTGCCAGCAAGAATTTGCCAGATGCCCATACAGTGTTGGCTGACGGTTTCAAGGGCGTGCAGACTGCAGACAAGCCACTACAACCCTGTCATCTGATAGTGTCCAACCCGCCGGTGCATCAGGGTCATGCTGATGACCTGCGAGTTTTGATTGAGCTGTTGGAACAAGCACCTCATTGGTTGCTGAAAGATGGCGAAATGTGGCTTGTGACACAGGAGCACATTCCCACAGGGCGCCTGTTCGATATGGCCACAGGAAGCCACTTGAAATGCGAGATTACCACCTATGCCACAGAGGATGGTCGTTTTGTCGTATGGCGAGCAACATACCAGCCGGCTTCCCGAAAGCGAAAGCTTGAGACCGACACGGAGTGGGAAAGCGCCACGGAAAGAAGCGAGTGCCTTCTTTTCTGGCGGGTTGCTTCGTGTCGAATCGCATGCAGCTGTGTTTCTTCTGCCAGGTTAGACCCGTGTGGGCTCAAGGGTCGGAGGTGCCAACGAAACTCCAAGCTCGTCTGTTTTCTGCACGGGATGACGCTGCCAGCCTTGAGCTGCACCCGCAGGCGCCCCCCGAGTATGAGCTGTGGGTGGACTTCAGAGCGCAGCGAAATGTCAAGCCGGATGCCAAGTTGTTCGTGCATAATTCATCCTTCGTTTTCAAGTTCTGTTCAACCTTTGTCGTTGTGACTCTGGCCCAGGTTAGGAGAATTGGCAGCGACTTCACTGCTGCAGCCTCCGAAGGTGCACAATCCTGTCTAAAGATGCACTGGTTTGCCTCTGGATTCTGGATGCTTCTGCTGTGACGAAGGTCAAGGAAGACTTGCTCAACTTGGCTGGAAGCCTCAGCTGCGAAGTACAGCGTGCAGCATGGACCAGTTTGCAAGTTGTTTTCAAATGCCGGCGCTAGGCGGGTGTTTCTGCTGAACATAAACAGGCAAAAACATCATAAGGTCTGGTTGGCTGACACTTGCAGTTGTCAGACTCGTGTCGTGCCGATAGCTTAGTTAATAACGGCTGTGCCGAGACAGGTGCGCAATGCGTGCCATCTGCAGGATAAAAGACTAAGCGGCCTCGCCTTCAGCCGTAGCACTGAAAGAGACCTAGGCCGACTGGCAAAGCGTAAAACCAGTGACAAGTGCCACATCCTGATCAAGCCCAGAAGCTCCGCATGGAACCGCTCAACTTGAAGCGGCATAGGCTGTCAAACTTCGGGCCTGTGGCTTTGACTAGCTCACGAGCGGAACGAAGTATGCCATGTCTTATTCTGAAAAATGCAGGTGTGCCGCAAGCATGCTTTCACAAGAATATGTGGCACAAACGCCTGCATTTGCACATCAGAGATGATTGAAGACGAAGCATGTTTGGGACGCGGTACTTATGAAGCCGGCAAGACTTGCGGACACCATGGGGTTGAGAACACCTTGACGCCATCGACCAAAGCCCGGACCGAGAGGGAGTGTGCCATGTGGAGAGAGTCTGCTCTTCATGAACCGCCAGTGCTTTCTGTACATGATTGGACTTGAAGGCACACTGGTTTATTGTAAACTCTTCGTGTCGTCTGCCTCGGCCTGTGCAGGTGAAGCTGATCAACCAACGGGAGCAGTGTTGTTGATTCGTTTCTCTGAATTTCCAGCACACTTCCGGTCAGAATCTTTGAGCGGGGGGAGTGGGCCAGTAGGGAGATTGCGAGGGAAAGGCCGAGGCGATTTTTGTTTTGTTATGTGATCATTTTGTTGGTTTCAATGCAGTCGCAGTAACGATCAGCAACCAAAGAAGTTGCGACCACAAGGGCTTGATTTCGAAAGTGATTAAAAGATGAGTTTTTCTGCGCATCAAGGCGAAAGGCCTACAGCAAAAGTTCGACAGCATCGGAGTTGAGCTCCTTGACTGCATACCTGGCACAATCTGGCATACGTTTTGTCAGGGGCGGCTTCGCTTGCAATTGCCTTCCCATGTGCAGTTTCTGAGGCTTCCGAAGGGAAAGCTGATAAGTGGACACGCCGGCATGTCATGCATTGCAGCCAGCAGCACAATAGAAGGAGGAGGAGATGTCTCAAAATTTGGACTGCTTCCCGCACGTACTGATGTTGTGTTGGGAGCGAAGGTGAGCAAATGGAATAATACTTTTCGCTGACACGGCGGGCACACCAGTCACAATTGCAGGGGATGCCTGGCTCGGCAGGTGTCATGGTCGATAAGCAATTCGTGCAGGAGGCATGTGGCTGCAGTTCAGCGCATCTGTGCAGGCAACTTTGAACCTTGGGGCCCTTGGGCTGATAGGCTGGCTCATACTGTTAGTCAGCATTGCCAGCTGCGCGGTGTTTGAGCCATGGCCCTGTATACACTACAGGCTCTCCATCGGCAAGCAATTCAATTAGCTGCTGACGCCGACTCACTCGCTATGGAGGCTGCCGATGTATCAACGTCGACTGACCACTGCCTGCAGAACTTGGAGGAGCTCGCGGAGCGTTTGAAGAAGATTGTCCTTCAGGGAACAAACGGTACTGCTTCGGATCGACAATCCTTAGCCGCACAAGCTGGACATTCTGCCCGAGTCTCCCAGCATCCGATCAGCCGAATGGATCACAGCTCCCGACGTGCTGTGTTGATGGAGCGAATAGCTCTCGCAGAGAAGCGTCGTGCAGCAGCAGAAGACGAAGCAAAGCTAGCAAGGCTTGAGACCATGAACCGCCTTGCCGAGATGCATCGGAATGACCACCGGAGGCTAGGAGATGCTTCAGGTAGCAGCATGTCCAGCTGGAAAGCAGAGTTCGAGGCCTTCCTTGGCAAGCAGCGGGCACATGCTGACAAGCTAGCTAGAGAAACCCAGAACGAGACGACAACGAAGTTGGCAGAATCGCTGGCATCGGCTACATCGGCTGTCGAAGCAAGCACCCCGGACGCACGCAAGTACATGCAGACCCTGCTGAACTTGACACGGGCATTGGCTGATTCCGAGTGTCGCCGGAGGGGGTTGTTAATGGCACTTTGATTCGAGAATTTGCAAAAGCAGGGCACGCCTGAAGCTACGGCGAGCAAAATTGCAACATTGCTCGGTGGCCTTCGCTCATACCGACGTTTGTTCACCACTTTTTCGTTTGCTCTTGGACCAGGCTCTTGAGGCCGTCCGTGAGATGCAGGTCCCAGTGTACACTGCCAGTTCAGACCTTAGGCCCCACGCAGAGCGCTGCCGCTTGGGCGCTTCTTCGCGTGCGTCTCGCTGAGGCAAGGAGGTGGAGGGCGTCGTGGCCTCAGCTAGTGCTGTCGCTTGGCGGCGCGTGTCGCACAGCTCTGCCAGCCCTCATGCTGCTAAGCGAAAGCAGCATTGGAGCCCGTTCTTTTCGAAGGCGGAAGAGGATGCACGCGTTTCAAAGATCACCAAAACCGATAAAAAAAAACAAACCACCTGCCAAAAACCATCCTCCCATCGTGTGAATATTGTTTGTGCCCCTACCCCCGGCCCGAGGTGCCTACATAAGCCAAAGGGTAAGCCAGTGAAGTCCGTATAAGTCCGTCTTCAGTGGCTTGAAGTCTGATCCCAGTCGATGCTGGGGCTGTCGGTCTACGCTACCACGAGGAGCCTCTTCCTTGGCTTCTTCATCTTCATCCTCCGGCGTGGTGAAATCTGTGGGACAGTCGTCCCTCTTCTTGGTCTGCCCGTGGTCTTCCACCACTGCAGCCAGTATACAAAGCCATCCGATTCGAAAGTTCCCCCTGCCATCCTCTTTGCACTCCAACAGACTGCTCACGGACCCCACTCAATGGCCGGGGAAGGACAATTTCCCAGAACAGCGAATGCAGCTGCACAAAGCTGCGCAGACCGGCAGGCAATGGTAAGCCTTTCATTTGCGCACGTAGTGCCACGGAGATATGGATACCTAATGAATTAAAGTCCTATAGGCTCTAGGCAAGATGCCAGGAAGCCGTTTTTGATTCACTCAGCGTCCTAGTAGTTACAGGATTCGGTGCAAGTTTGGTCCTTGCGTACTATTGTTTACACGGGATCGGTGAAGCCGATCTCCGCTGTGGTGCGGTGCATAGTTTTCGTTGGTCCGTGCGGCCGTACGCACCGGGCTGGCTTCATTGTAAATTACAGTAGCAGCAGTAGTAGTAGTAGT